GGGCTTCCTCTATCAAGGATTTCTGCAGCCAGTGGCTGAGAATGCACTGGTCACCGTTTAGGACTCGGCTGAGTCGGCTTTCACTTCTGTGAGCAATCTTCTTTTCTTTTTCGCATTGATTGTATTCCTTTTCTACCCTCAGACAAGTACTCGTAGACATTCTAGCCAGCTCGTAGTGATTTTAAAGTGGCAGAATTGCTGTACAATGCATTATTTTTTGGGTCCATTTACGTGAGTGTAATTTTGTCTCCGTATGCTCTGTTGTTTTTCGCTGCTTGTTCACTGCGGTTCCTCAAGTCTGCTTATCGCCACGCATAACTGCATGGAAAATTTTGCAGAAAATATGACTCGAATGTGCGAATGAGTGAGACAACTCACTTTTAGCCGTTATGTTTGCCAATTGCAGGGATGCTAATTAGTGATCGTCTTCCATATTTCCAATTCCCCTCCCCAAGACCTACTACATTTCTTGTTGCTTAGATCATTATTTTTGGAGCGTTTAGTTGATTAGTTTATCCAGCCTTGTATCAAACATAAATAAGCGCATTTGTGTAACGATAGCTCTTCAATGGTAACAGTTATTCTCAAAGTACAAATGTGAAGGAGTCCATCTCCGGCGATGAGCTGCGTCGGCACTGGGTTCGCCGTGCCCGGGGCCGCATAATCACGGAGCCTTTCGTCAGTCTCTACGCCGTCAGACAACAATTGCACGACCTCTTCCTTGAGAAGATTGGCGTCCCCTAGAAGGTGGGCTGTCAATGACTCGCGGATGCGTTTAGTCTGATTGTCTTATTAACTCGCGTTTTGGGTCGTTCATGGAAATCTGCTCACTTTATATGGATTGCTTCCCCCCTGCAAGAATATGTTTTATCCATTTAAAATAAGCTGATCAAGTTTTCAACGTGTAGACTAGCAGAGCCTTAATTTGTCTCCCCGTCTTCCATTGCATCACTTTACGTGGTATGTTGAAAGGGTGTATTTCTTCGTGCTATGAGTTGCTTAGTTGTCTCTTGTATCACCGAGTCTTTTAAAGCCATATTGTAGTCATGTGATTGAGCTCTTCTTGTCCTAATGACGACGTAAATATTCTCCATAGAATGGTACCAGTGGTGCTGGAAATATTATTCGTCGTGACTTTAATCATGCCTTGATTTGTGGAATCTGGTCACTCACCAATTGAAGAGCTCTCTCTAAACAACGGTATCCATCGAGGGGTTTCTGTGTGCGTCTCAAATGCGCCTTATTGTTGATGTTGAATGCGTGAGTAGTAGTTGGAACCTTGAAACCCTTTGACATCTCCGTGGACTGGACTCGCAGCTGGTTTTTGCAGTTTTGAAATCGTTGTGACTCACCACAAGGCATAATTAGTGCGAATACTTTTGCCGAATAGTTGCAAGACCAAACAGATAACTTCCCGGGCAGTTTATTAATCACTTAACACTCACGAAATGTGCCTCTCTTTTGACTGACCTACCATTGCTGCAGTTTGAGGTGTGTTCGTCTGGCGTCACGTATATGTGACACACATTCTTCCCACAAAAGTTCCTCCAGAACCTCTTGTGGCAACTTTTAGCACATCCATTCAAACTAATTGACTTGATAAACAAAACTTAATAGTTTTAATTCAACGCAATGCAAAGAATAGTGGAAGCGGAGTGCTAGTGACGAAAGAATAAAGGTAGGCAGTTGACCTTGAATCAGGCTAGTGACCACTTTTTTGACTACCATGGGCACAGTTGGGTAGGTATAGCTTAATTTGTTTGCAGGCTTGCAAATTGCACTCGAATGTGAGTGTTGAAGGATCGCAATGGGGCCTTTTCCTGTTTGATATTGGTTTGATTGAGCAGGTCTCATTGACGTCGCTCCGAATGTCTGTTGACCTTGAGTTAGGCTTGTGAATCATTGCCGGCCTCCGTTGACGCAATTGAGTAGATTTAACTAAACTTTTTCATAATGGCAAATTGCACTCACATTTGAGGTTTGAAGCATCGTTTTGCGGCCGTATTCTGGTCACTTTTGGCTTGACTGAGCAAATTGGATTGACGTCCTTGCGAATGACCGTTGACCTTGAGTAAAGGTAGCGAATATTTTCCTGACGACCATGGGCACAGTTGAGTAGATTTAACGGAACTCGTTTGCGTGCTGGAAAATTGCACTCGAATGGGAGATATGAAGTATCGTATTGTAGCCTAATATTAGTTAGTTTTGGTTTGACTTTGCGAATCCCATATACTTCTTTCCGAACATCTGTCGACCTTGTTGTACGCTAGTGAATACACCCAAGCCGTCCTGTTCACTGTTGAGTACATTTGATCAAACTCGTTTCTATTTTTCCAAATCGCGCATGAAAGTGACATTCAAATGATCGCATTGTGGTCTGTTCTTGGTTTGTGTTGGCCTGAACGCGCGAATCGTATCGGCTTCTCTCCGAATTACTGTCGACCTTAAGTTACACTAGTGAATA